TTGAACTTCTTCCTTCATCACCATAGGCTCTTGCTCATATGTTATTTCTTTAAATTCCTCATGCTTGGGAGGGTGGAGGGACAGCGCAGGAGAGGAAGACCCTCTATGAGATGGATTGATTCGGTGCCTGGGGTAATCGGGATGGGTGTGTCAGAGGCGGTTCCTAACAACATGCCCAAAGTTATGTGAGACAAAGCCTCATGTCCTTGCCTGCAAGGAGCAATTTGGCTGCACCCTCTCCAAGACTAATCTGTTCTTTTGGCAGCCCATACTTTTTCAGCACTACTCTCCAACACCACAGCTCAAAGGCACCAATTATTCTTCTGTCATCCTAGGTTAACTAGACAGCTCTCAGATGTAGAGCAAGTGACTGAAAAGACCATGGCCTAAAAATCACGCACACCTTAGTCCACAAACTCAGCAATTTGGAAGGGAGGAGACTACGCATCTTTTTCTTATGGAGCAGCTGGTGCCTCTGGGTTGGCAGCACAACTTCTTACCACTAAGCTAAGTTAAACTGTATTTCTATTTCCAACTTTAGAGGAAGTTCCAGACTGTCTTCCATAGCAACTGCACCATGTTACACTTCCACCAGCAGTGTACAACAGCTCTAAATTCTCTGCATCCTTGCCAGCATTTGTTGTCTGTTAAACTTTGCTGTTGTTGCTGGGGTGAGAGGGCATCTTGTTGTTTTGATTTGCATTTAATAGTTAGGGTTGGGGTTTTTTCCCCCCATATTTTGTTGGCCATCTGAGATTGTTTGCTTTGGTGAAGTGTCTATTCATATCTTATGCCTCTTTTATGACTGGGTTATTGTCTTTCTTGTTGAAGTGCTGGAGTTTTCTATACATTTTAGATGGGAGTTCCTTATAAAATATTTCACAAATAAGTTCCCCCAGCCTGTAGTCTTCCTTTTTACTCTACTGGAGAAGTTTTTTTGGATGTGCACAATAATTTTTAGAAGGTCCTTTTCATCTATTTTATCCTGTCCTAGTTGTAGGTTCTTGGTTGTGCTTGTAAGTCTATTCATGCCATAGATTAGGGCT